GCGGCCCCGCCCCCACCGCAGCGCCCCCGCCACCGCTCGGCGCGCACAGAGCCTCCCGGGTCGGTCCACGGATCGAACCTCCGCTCCCGCTTTGCTCTCTTGGAAGCTTTCCTCAGACAGCTTTGCTGACATTTTAGTCCTTTGGAATTCAGGCCCTTCACTCATCTTTGTCTCCCTTGTTCCTGGGCACAGTCTACAAGGTCCCACTCGGTCCCAACCATCCCCGCGTCACCACTACGTGCTCCTGCTCTCAACTTTCACACTCGCCAGGCACCTTCCCCTTCCATGTCCGTGACAGGGCGCATCCCACAACTGAAATTGTGATTCTCTCGCCTCTGCTTTCCAGAGACTGTTGTCACTGTCCACGCCAGCACCCTCTTGTTGGGCCTTGTCCCTGTCCCTGGCTTCTCCTCCTGCAGCCACTTTAAACGACTGCCCCCCGGGAAGCAATCCCAGGCCACAACAGAGTGTCCCTGTGGGAGCTCACCCACTCTCAGGGTGTCGACGCACCCGCAGCATCGACAGGACTCTGGGCCAGGACGCTAGGACCCTCCTAGACTTCTCACCCCTCTGTAAGCCACAGAGAGAAACAGGTTTAGCATTTTACAATGTCTCATTTTTATCAGTCATCAAAGAGTCCATAGACAACACTCAGAGGACCTTGAGACACCACTTAATTGTACCCCTTGCTTGGGTGAATGAAAGCATTTGCACGATGAGGAGTAGGAGATACTCCTTTGTACGGCAGACTTATCTGTTACTGAGCCTGGTGTACAATGAAAAATGTGTCTGGTCTTTGTTCCAGATGCTTGACAAAGAGCTTGCAAAACCCTAAAAATTCCCTGAGTGGCAGGGGTGTCCTTCTTATGCTAATGAGGTAGTTTTTAGTGGGCCCCTGGATCGGTTCAGGATGGGGGCTAGTTACCAGAAAAACCAGCCCCATGATTACAGGGTAGGGACTTGGGGCCATCGGATGTCTGGGGATGGAATCTAGAGACTTTGTTCAATCACAAGACCATTGATTTAAACAACCACACCTCTGTAAAGAAACCCAATAAATAGTCTAAACACCAAAGGTCAGTGGAACTTCCGGGTACTGAACTCATTAATGTGCTGGGAGGGTGATGCGCCCTGATTCCCCAAGGAAAAGGCGCAGAAGCCCTGGGTTCTCTCCCAGACCGCACCCCATGTGTCTTTTCATTGGGCTGGTCCTGATTTGTGTCTTTTGTATTAGAAATGTAATGATAAGTAGAGCACTATTCTGAGCTCTGTCAGCCCTTATAGTGTATTATCAAACCTGAGAGCGTTGTGGGAAACATCAAATTTATGGCCCGTTTGTCAGGTGACCTGGGGACCCCACAGTGTGGGCTGCGCCTGAAGTAATGGCAGTTTTTCTTGAGGACCATACCCTCTAATCTGTGAGGTCCATGCCAACTGGGTGGTTAGTGCCAGAGCTGAACTGCAGTAGACCCAGCTGGGCTTTTACTGGAATACAGTCCCCACCGTGTGCCAGGCACCCAACTGGAATCTGCATAGACCGTCAACAGAGGAGCACAGGGCCCTGCCTCGCCTCCTGGAGGTAAGAATAAGGTGCAGGCAAATGTTGAGAATTGAAAGTAAACACCTCAGCCTTAAGTCCTGAATTTGAACAAATCTGTACCTCCTGGCGAGGCTGAACATTAAGCTCATTCTTTCAAGCCACGGTTCTTATTGACACTGCCCCCCCGACCCCCCCAGAAGTAGCCAAATGGGTTTCACTTCAAAGTAACTCCCTGACCTCAAAGCAGAGCTAAACGCTTGGTGTGGACTGCCCGGGTTTTACTCAACAAGGGCTGTCTAGTGGTCAGGAGCCTGGGGTGTAGGAATTGAAGACGGAGGGACGTACAGACCAGAAGAAATATTCCTGGGCCTCACTGGCTCGGCAGAGTAGTGAGGCCATCGACCAAATGCAAAAGCCAACTGCACATTGCTGCCAGGGCCAGGCCTGCCTCCAAGGCCTTCTTTCTGTCATGTGGATGGATATCTTCATTCTTTTTTCAGTAATCCTTAGAAAGCTTTTTAAAAATTCTCCCCCAGTGCAACAGAAATAATCTTGATTTCTGCCACTAACATTGTGCATACAAGATAATTTCAGAACCACGTTTCCTCATCTGAGAGCAAAAATAGCATCTGCCAAGTCCAACATGGCTCAATTCAGACACAGCGTCAAGCTCTATGAGTGACATGAAACATTAGAGTCCCAACGTCTTAAATAAGCTTCTGTGACTTCGCAGAGATACTAACAGGGCACACCCAGAGGGGCTTTTACTGAAAGTGCCCAACCCCCCAAAGCAAGACAGTTGGGGACATGTTAACATTTGACCCATTAAGTTTCATGTTTCTTAATCAGCTAATGAAAATCCAGGAGAGACCCAGCTCACTCAACTATCTCAGGCCACTTCCCACGCAGTGCTTCTTGGACGGCCCTGCGGGTGGCAGGAAGTGGCCCCAGCTTCATTCTCTCCTCCTAGACTGCGGTGGGGTGTGTTCGTGCGTGTCACCTGAACACGAGGTAGGAAGTACCGTTTGTACAGGAAGGCCCAGAAGGCTTCCTCCTTCTTCTCACAGAGAATACATGAGTCTTACGTGGAGTCTAAGTAAAGCTGTGAATTTTCAAGATTTAATCAGAACAAAATCAGAATCATTAATTTATCTTATCAACCAAATCACTCTCACTTTAAGGTTTCCAAAAATATCAACACCAGTAATTTACTGAAAACTAATTTGCAAAGCAAACTTGTGAAGTGAATAAAATAATTTAGTGTGGCAAAAGTTGTTTTCTTAGAGAGAGAAACTTATTCCTGTTTTAAAACAAGGATAATTGACACAAAACAAGCAAATCATTCATATTTTATAATATGTCTTATATTTTGCTTTGAAAATATATCGAAATGTTTAGAAACATCCAAACATTAGTCATGGCATGGAGAAAAGTTTCCTAGAGATTTTGGCAGTAAAAGAGCATCAAATAATTTGTCACAGGCCAGGCCTAATACATAAAACCCACATGCCTTTTTTGAATATATCTTTTTTGGATCCAAATTCTGAGGGGAATCAATGCAAATATTTTCAATGGGTTTCCTGGATACTTAAGCATCTACACAAAGTTCATAAATCAAAATCCAAGAAGACTCATCCAAGTTGCCCTGACCTTGATGTTACCTTGCAGGGCAGTGGGCAGAGATCCTGTACGCAAGGAGACATGTCTGGGAGGGCTCTGGGGAAGGTGAGCCAAACATGTGTCAGCCGGCTGCATTAGCAGTCACATTCCTCATTTGGAATCCAAGGAGCTGGGCTTTTCTTTGAGCTTCCCAGGGTGGGAAGCCAGGAAAAGAAAGACCACATTAGAGAAGACCTCAGTGGCCATCCATGTCACAACTTCATTCTACACATGAGGAAAGTGAATCCCCAGAGAAGTGACAGACTTTGTCTAATGATCGCCAAGTTTCCTGTTCAAGGTTACACATGTGTCCCATGAGCAGGATACGTGATTCTCAAAGACACAATGGGGTCAACTTTGTATTTTCAGAGCCACAGAGTCATACTTGATTAAGCAAAGGCCTCTTCCAAGAATCCCCAGGACCTTCTGAGTATGGCTGACCCACCTCTCCGTGTGCCTTTAGGTAAACGCTTTGGGTGATGTGCAGCTCTGTTCTGGGGCTGCAAGAGCTAAGGACCAAAGCATAAGGCTGGGGTTAGAAGAGGGACGGAGCAGCCAGGAAGCAGAGAAGGAGGCCTGGGAGAGGGTAAGAGATCTGGATTGTCCTTGGAGTTACAGACGATGACACAGTCCCACAAAACTGGCACTCAGAAAATGTTTGTTCCACACTGAGTAAAAATACCCCAGTTCGCCTTCTCTTATGACGCAGTGCGACAGACCCTCCACACCGCCATCCACGAGAGCTTCCCCCAACAGCCCATGCTCCTGGTATTCTTCATAAACTTGCTTTCTCAAATTTATAGTATCATCAGAATAAAAGTGATGAACCCAGTTCAGAACACAGCCTTTATCCCATCAGAATTCTGAGCATAGGGATTCTGACTGCAGTATAAAAATCTACACAAAAGATTGGCCAAGCACAGGCTGACAGACAGACAGAGCAGTGTTTCAGAGTTGAAGATTGATGAGATCAATTTTGAAGCTTTTCTGCCTTCATCTTGTGGGTTATAGCTGTTGGTGATTTTTTTTTTTTTTTTTTTTTTTTTGCCTCTAAGACTTATGTTTCAAACTGCATCGTTCCACAGTTACCACAGGCATTGTTTTATATAACCAACAGAAAATAAGTCACTATGATAAAGCAGCATTTTAGAATATGTGGTCTGCTATGGTTCTTATTTAATTCAATTGCTTGGTTAGAAAATAAAAAACTTCAAAATACAGTTATGCTCAACATTAATAAATGCTTGAAAAACCAGTAATCCAATTTTATATTTTAGCTAGTATCAATAAGCACTAAATTGATCAACAAGCATTAAATTGATTGGCTATTTTTTATCTTTCATTGTTGACTCTATTGCAGACATCCCCATTCCTCTCCACCTTTGCCCACCTCAACAAGCATGTGATTTATTATTAAAAACTGGACATTCAGAGAGAGAGGTACAAAAAGGCAGGGGCCAGGCCCAGCTCTCACCACAGAATCCCCAGGGCCCCACGCCCCTGCAACCACCAGCACGGGCACATAAGCATTTGTTGGATGGAAGGATGGCTGCATGCCAGGTGGCAAAATGGAACAGAATGAGCATTTTCTAGTCACTCCCCCCCCAAAATAAATTTCCACTTGAATTAACCAAAGAGTCCATTTTGAAGGTTTAAATAGTTCATTTACCGACTATGATGTGACCCAGAGTTTTAACCAAAGTGGTCTTTTCAAGCTTCCTTCCTCTAGTGCCCTGGGACAAATGGGAATATCCATAAGAACAATGAGGCAGAAGCAGACGTGACCATCCACACTCCTCACCTGCCATGTCGATGGCAAAAGGCCTGTCTGCTCTCCAGCCGGTGTACCAGCCAACGACTTTGCCATTTTCCACCAACGGACGTTCATAGCGTCGCCCGCCGACCAGGCCCACTGGCCAGACAGAGACCTTGCGTGTGGTTCGCATCTATAAAAAGGGGAAAGAGACTTGGTTTAAGCTTCCTTATGGAAAAGAACTTGAAGGGGGGAAAAGAATGTGAGCCACGGAGAAGACATGAGAAGGCGTGGGCAGGTGTCAATTTCTAAAAGGAGAAGGTTTCCAGACAGAACCTATGTGCTGGCAGAGCGCTACTCCATCACCGCTCGTCCGCTCAGCCATCAGCTCTGTGCTCCTCAGACCTAAACTAAGCCTCTGGCTTGGGGTTAAGGGAACTAAAGTGCCTGTCAGTATCTGAACATCACTTACTGGAAGTTACAAGTGACTGTCAAATATTTCCTATTTGTTTCAAAGTTCAATCTTTTAAACAACACTTTGTATCTTCAGAAGTGAGAAGGTTCAGTTCCCCTTTAAGAAACTTTATGACTCAGTAACAGCAAAAATTTTACTCAGGCGGGCTGCAGGAGTTGCCTTCCTCTAGATTATTTATTGTTTTAGACACACAGAAACCTTGGCTGGTGACATTAATAATGGGATCCAGATACAAAACAGACACCGGGCATCCTCCCGGGTGACAAAAAGAAAAACATACCCTAAATTTGCCTTTCTTTTAACAGCAGTTGGGCCAAATTATAGAAGAAAACACCTCATCCAGGCAGTTGAAGTAGCTGGTCTTCTCCCAGCATAGCCTATGGTACCTAGCAGAGTTCTGGTTAAAGATAACCCTCAGCTGAAGATTATTTGCTGGATTTCTTTAAGGGGAAAGACATGTTCACAAGAAGGCTTGATGATGCTGTGGGCAGCAGTTGGGGAAAAACCACCATCTTCTTCTTGGTATGTGCTGAGCAGGGCCATCGTCCGCCCACATGGCACTGTGGGCCAACTAGAAAAAGGTCCCCTTTTCCTGGGCAGACACACTCCAAGCTGGGGCCCATGGTTTAGGGGCCAAGCCATCAGAGTGTTGGCTAGATTCCAGGTCCACTCACCCGCTTGGCAGGGTGTGTCCTTGGACAGGGCATAACCTGCTTGGCAGTGTGAGGGGGCGCTGTTGTTGAGATAATTACAGTCTCAACCCCCATGCTTTTTACCTTTCATTTCTATAAAACTGAGTCATGATCAGTCACCAACCAATGGTTAAAATAACGATGATCAGGTAAGAACTTTTTTAATGAAAGAAAGGAAAACCATATACTTGGGAAAGATTTTCAAATGCAATTCAAATGAAAAGTCAAATTATTAAAGATTAAAAATAATTAGATGCTCCCATTTGCCAAGTATTCCCAATTTATTTATTTATTAATATTCCATCTCATCCCAACGAGAGGACTTAAGGACAGGGAGTGCTCCGAGTAATGAAGATCTCACTGGTCTCCCTCAAATCCAAAATTACTGTTTTTAAAGTCTACTATTTTTCAATAAATTAATCACTGTTGTGTAATGCTAGCTCATACTGACATATGATTTTTTGAAAAAGTTCTACTGAGTTATAATGAAGGATACACTAACTGAAAGGAAGAATAATTTACAGGGAATCAGTAGTACAGTAGATGAAGCCAAGTGTCAAATCAGCGATTTGGAACATAAAGAAGCAAAAACACCCAATCAAAACGGGGGTGGGGGGAAGAATCCTCCCCTCCAAAATGAAGACACTGTAAGAAGCCTCTGGGACAACTTCAAGTGTACCAACATTTGCATTATGGGGGGCCCTCATAAGGAGACTTATGGGGGGGGTGCTCAGAAGGAGACAGAGTAAGAAACTGTAAATCTATTTGAAAAAATAATGACCAAAAACTTCCCATAGTTGGTGAAGGAAACAAACATGTATATCCAGGAAGCACAAAGACTCCCAAACAAGAGGAACCCAAAGAGGCCCACATCAAGACATACCATAATTAAAATGCCAAAGATGCAAGACAGAGAGAGAATCTTAAAAGCAGCAAGAGAACAGCAGTTACTTACTTACAAGGCAGCTTCTATCAGACTATCAGCTGATTTCCCAACAGAAACTTTGCAGGCCAGAAGAGACTGGCAAGAAATATTCAAAATGATGTAAAGCAAGGACCTACAACCAAGATTACTCTACCCAGCAAACCTATCATTTAGAATCAAAAAACAGATAAAAAGATTCCCAGACAAGAAAAAGCTAAAGGAGTTCATACCACCAAACCAGTATTATATGAAATGTTAAAGGGCCTTCTTTAAGGTAAAGGAGGAGGAGGAGATAAAAAATATGAATAATAAAATGTCAATAAATATCCCTGGCTGGTGTGGCTCAGTGGATTGAGCACTGGCCTGCAAACTGACAGATCGCTGGTTTGATTCCCAGTCAGGGCACAGGCCTGGTTTGTGGGCCAGGCCCTAGTTGGGGGTGTGTGAGAGGCAACTGAGCCATGTCTCTCTCTTTCCCTTTCTCCCTCCCTTTCCCTCTCTCTAAAAATAAATATTTTTTAAAAATGTCAATAAATACATATCTATCAACAACTGAATCTAAAAAATAAAATAAACAAGCAGAACAGAAACCGAATCATAGATACAGAGAACGCTTTGATAGTGGCCAGACGGGAGGAGGGTCAGGGGCTGGGTGACAAAGGTGAGAGGTTAAGAATTACAAACTGGTTGCTCCAGAACAGCCATGGGGGTGTCAAGCGCAGCATCGGGAATGTGGTCAATAATATTCTAATAACTGTGGATGGTGTCAGATGGGTGCGAGATTTATCGGGAGGATCCCTTCATAAGTTACATAATGTCTAATCACTGGGGTGTACACCTGAAACTTACATAGTATTGTCTGTAAACTGTAATTGAAAAATTAAAAAAATGACTTAAATAAAGAAAATTAAAAACATTTTAAAAATAAAAGTTCTACTGAGGTATAATTGACTGCAGGAAAGAACTAACAGTCCTGACACTATTATCTTTAGAAAGGCCTGCCTGCAAGGCTGACCATTGGCTGGCATCTGAAAAACTGGCTTTCGAAGTAATCCCTGTGCTGATAAAACTGTTTTGCCCACCTAGGGCTTTAAAACCTTTGCTTTTCTTTGGGAATCTGAAACATTGGTGGGCAGAGGGGGTGCCTATGTGACCAGACTCCAGTAAAAACCCTGACCCTTAACTGGGTTTCCCTGGACAGAGACGCTACACACCTGTGGCTATGGTATTGCTGGGGGGAAGGCTTGTTCCATGTGACCCTGCTTGGGCGTGAGAGGACACTGGAAACCTGCACACTGGAAACCTCCAGTCCCTTCCTGAAGTCTTTCCCCTTCACTGAGCCGGCCTCACTGTGTCCTTACTGTGTCACTGTAACAAATCTTAGCCGCATGTCCCAAATAATGTCATTTTGTTCAACTTGGTTTAGTTATAACAACTTTGATGAGATGCTGTAGGAACTTAACCTTGTTGATATCAACTAGCCTATGGCAAAAATGGCTTTGTTATACACGATTTTGCTTAGTCACAGAACCTATCAAAGACATTCAGAGAGGACTTACTGCACAACTAACTACATGCTGAGTCCTGTGAGTCCTAGTAAATAATCCAACATGGGCGGCCCTGAAAAAATACAATACAATACAATAAAATTGGATACATTTAGACATAGGTATTTGGCCAAGAAACCATCATCACAGGAAGATAATAAACGCCTCTATCGCCCCCAGTCTCTTTGGGCTTTTGGAATCCATCCCTCCCGTCTCTGTCCCCTCGCGACACCCTAATCTCCAGGCGGCCACTTGTCTCCTATCACTACACATTAGTTCGCATTTCATAGAATTTCATATGAATGGAATCATACAGTGTATACTCTTTCTTTTTTTTTTTTTTAAATAAGATTTGGCATCTTTCACTCAGCGTAACTGTATGGTTATTCATCCATGCTGTAATGTTTATCCGTAGTTCATTCCTTTACGTGGTCATCAGCATTCTGTTGCATGGACGTCGCCACGGTTTGTTTTTGTCTTTTTGATTTTTAAAAACCCATTCACCTGTTAATGGACAGTGTTTCAAGCTTTTGGCTATTACAGATAGAGCTGCTATAATATTGTGTACAAGCCTATGTGGACTTTTTTTTTTTTTTGATAAGTACCTAAGAGTGGAAAGGCTGAATGATATGGTAGGTGTACATTTTAACTCTTTAAGAAACTGCCAACTTATTTTCCAAAGTGTTGTGCCATTTTCATACTCCCACCAGCATTTATGAGAGTTCCAGTTATTCCACATCCTCACCAACAGTTGCTATGGTCAGTGTTTAATTTTGGCCATTCTAATAGTTATTAGTAGTATCTCAATGTGGTTTTAATGTGTACTTTTCTAATGACTAATGATGTTGAGTATCTTTTCATGTGCTAGTATTTGCCACCTGTATTGCTTCTTTGGTAAAATATTTGTTTAAATCTTCTGCCTGTATTAAAAAAATTATTTTTTATTTCCTTAGTATTGATGTTGGAGAGTTTTTAATATATTCTGCATACCTGCCTACAAATCCTCTCTCAGATATATGATTGTAAGTATTTTCTCCCAGTCTGTGGCTCATCTTTTCGTTTTCATGACAGTGTCTTTTGAAGAACAGAAGTTTTTAATGTTAATGAGTCCAATTCATCAACTTGTTCTTTCATGGACCATGCTTTCAGTGCTATAGCTGAGATATCTTTACCTAAGCCAAGTTATGGGTTTTCTGCTCCTTTCTAGAAGTATTATAGTTTTAGGTTTTACATTTAGAGTATGATCTATTTGAGCTAATCCACATACATCTGCAGACATGAGGGACTGATGGAAGTTTTTTTTCTGTATATGGAGGTTCAACTGTTCTAACTGTATCTAATTGTCTCAGAATAACTGAGCTGCCTTTGCATCTTTGTCAAAAATCAGTTGTCATATATGTGTGAATTTATTTCTGGACATTCTCCTCTGATTTACTGGTCTGTCTGGTGATTTTGATGCTAATACCGTCACGCTGTCTTAATTTATTATAGTTTTATAATAACTCTGGAAATGTTGGGAAACTTCCCATCTGGTTTTAGGGACTGTAGCCTGGC